TATACTTTTTAAATGTTTAGAATATATATATATATATATATATATATATATATATATATATATATATATATATTTTAAATAAAAAATAAACTCATGTAATAAGTGGGTCTCAAACCTACTATTGCTATATACACATGACCCATGTGATCCTTATTTCAGTACTCTCAAGCGCATATTGCGATATATTCATGGTACCACTACTCAGGGTGTACACTTATATATCTCTTCGAGTAGTATCCTCACTTCCAACTCTGATAATGATAATGACTGGGATTGATGTCCTGTAACATGATGCTCTACATCGGGTTATTTTTTCTTTTTACGACACGATCTTCTCTCGTGGTCCTCCAAACGTTAGAATATGACTTCGAGGAGGTCTAGTGGCGAAGAAAAGTATAGGGGTGTTGCAGATCTTATGGCTGAAACATGTTTGATTCGTAATCTTCTTGTTGAGCTTCACTATATGCATGCCAAGGCTACTCATGTTTATTAGGATAATTTTAGTGATGTTTATAGGTCATCCAATGGGTCCATCATTAACATATAAAGCATACTGAGATTGATTTGCATTTTGTTCGAGACAAAGTTGCTACGGGTCATGTGTGTGTTCTTCATGTCCCTTCTTCTTCACAATATGCAAATATATATATTTTTACAAAGATACTTCTGTCTCCATTGTTCCTTGAGTTTCTGTCCAACTTAAACGTTCGTGACTCTCATTCCGTTCAATTTGCAGGAGGCTATTAACCTATGTACTATTATATATATATGTATGTATCTTTAGTATATAGTCGGCCAATTCAATCTTTGGCTTTTTTCTAATTTGTATTGTACGTTGTATATATAATGAATATATGGAAAAGAGAAAATGATGTGAAATTACGCTACTTTTGTTAAATTTTTCGATAGGATTTTTAGCTTATTCTTAATCCTCCAAATTCAGATGGGAGGAAATGTGCGAAGTTGATAAAGCCATGGTCAATGTACAATGCATAGCTTGGTTTCTCTAGTTCTTGAAGATACGCCATTTGCTTAAACCCACAGTGTGTGATGTGTGATGTGTGATCTGACTGCACATCAATGTCATCATACGACAACCAATAGGGTTTCACACACCAGCATGTTACCACTAATCTGTATGTCAAAAGATTTAGCGGTGTCTTTGAGACGGACAAGAAGTGGTCGCATAGTTTATCCGGGGTAAAATTTTAGCAATGAATTTAGTGATGAAATTAAATTAAGAGACGGAAAATACCCTTTGCTACCCGGATAAATTTTATTTAGTTCTCAACAAGTTAGTAAAACAACAAAATAGCATCAGATTTGTGACAATTATATATCAATATTTTTGAACTGAAAGGAATTTAACAACGGTTGAAGAATCATCTTTATGCTTACAACTTACGTACGATTCCTCAACTTTTGGGTGGTGTTGTCCCTAAATTGGTTTTTTACATACGCGTTGATGTTGTTTCTAGTTTTGATCTAGAATTGTTTGACCACAAATATGGTTTTGGTCCCCAGAAATCTTGGCAAATATCATGTAAAATTCGATCTCACCACGCTATGATCTTATTAGAGATGTGTTTTAATAAAAACCTTTGTGTTTTTGTTTTTTGTTTAAATTATCTACAAGAGAGAGAGAGAGAGAGAGAGAGGGAGAGAGAGAGAGAGAGAGAGAGAGAGAGAGAGACTTACCGGGCATAGATCTTTACTTAATTCATCATACGATATCTTAGGTTTCCCTTGTTTAACCTGGTCATGAACATATAATTAACACGACTGATGAGACATAAAAAATAAAGCATTGAAATAAATAACTTAATTTTAAATTAAACAATGGAAAAATGGATTTATTTGATGGGCAGAGAGAAACAAACCACACTAGAACCTTTAAGGTACAAATTTGTTGTAAGAAACATACCAAGAACCCGATAGCCTGTCTAGTATGCACAAGTTCATCCCACGCTGAGCCAGCATTCTAGAATTTCAAAATTATTGATTAGTCAAATAAACATTAGTATTACCAAAGAGTTTACTTTAACAAGGAGAACTTAAACCGACTAAAATCGGGCCATTTTGTGGAAATACATTTTTGACAAAAATAAGTGAAAAAGTAAACAGTAGACATATTTTCAATTTTCAAAAATTACTCGTCGATCTGATATCTAAGAATATTTATCAAAATGTTTTTTAAGTAACAATATTATTGAAAATAATAGGCTAGTAATAAATTAAGAAGAGCTATAAACACGGTGTCAAAAACAATTCGATGTTTTCGCGGTAGAGGTCCGGTGTCCGGGAAAGTCGCGAATCGAGATTTTTCAAAAAGAAAGTGACTAGGTTGTGACTGAAGGAAGTATTACATTCTGAATTCTGAATTAAGGAGGAAAATGTTAGAATAATTTAGAATCTACAACAAATAGGTACTAGGGTATCTTGGGAAAAACATTTATATATTAAGTATTTTGAGTTAGATTAGAAAGTTGTTTACTTGCTTAATAGTTTTACATATTGGTTAAGTTTAAGACTCTTTTGATCTTCTATCAATACATTTGATGTTTTCCTATTTTGAATAAGATTAAGTATCAAACAGTAAAAGTTTATCCTATGTTCTTTTTTTTCTTACATATTATTGTTTTTACATATGTATATGTATGTATAAATAAGTAACCACATGTGAAAATGTATGTACGTAGATAGAAAAAAAGTAAATTCTTTTTTTGGGGTATACCTTATACCATATATCTCTGGCCATGGATTTAATCTCTTTAGGTGACGAAAAGAGATTTTTAGAAATTTGTTAGGGATTGTGTGACTAGCAAGGCATTCTATTCTTTCGGTTGCATTTTCTTGTGGTACATCTTCATTGTCGGTTCTTTTAACAATACGCCACCCCAAGGTCGAAGCTTGTCATAGTCGGACATTACATCCATTCCATTTTATAGGATTTAACATCACAAGTGATCATCACTAAGCCAAGTTTATGATGGTAACTGTATAGCGTATACATCTTTACTACCATCACTACAAAAAAACATGTATAAATAATGGAAAAAGCTAATTATATATCGGGCTCATTCATTGTTTAAAATGACATGATTCAGATGATGTACTTCATTATCTTCCTTAAGAAGAACCTTCTTGATTTATCATAATGTTCATTTATGTTTGCTCCACTAAATTACTTTACATTGTTGTTTTAAGTCAACATGATTTAGATGATGTATTGATAACTTCAGTACCATCCTTAAAACAAACATTATATTCATGAGCAATGGCGTTCTAAGATTTGACAACAAAATAAATGTGATGCCATTCTAGATCATTCATATATACTGATGATCATAAATATACCATCACATCGTAATTAAGTCGTTCCAAGTGTTTAATCAGAGGATGGATTGTTGGGTGACAACAAAACAAGTTAAGAACTTCAAACAAATATCAAATAAAACTTCGGAAAACTTGCGTAAATAAAACTTCTTAAAATGTGAATCAAGTTAACAGAATATTTAATGTGGTTCAGTCAATGTGATCTACATCTACGAAAGAACGAGAGAGAGGTTTTAATTAACTTCGGATAACAAATCCAATCACTTTATGAAGTCTATCCATTACAACATCTAAAAACCCGATTGCGCATGTTGATGTACCACCTGTGCACTAGATTGAGGCAGAAATCCTCATACACGAAAAATTGTAGCCAAATCCAGTTTATTAGGTTTTGCTCTCTGTCGATTAGAGAATAGTGATTCTTCTCAAAGTTATACTTACTGAAGAAGCCTTCTTAGAAATTGTTGGCCTCGCTACTTCCCGACAAATTGGTTTGCTTTGGAAACTTCATATAATAAATCTTTTATTAAGCCACTTCAAAACTTACGTGATTAGCTTTGCCAAATCTCAAAGGGTACATCCAGTGTTATAGATTTTGGGCTTAAATTCAAGTCTTTATGCAATAAATTATCGGCTATTGGTAACCTGTCTACGACTTTGACATATTAAATTGGTTTTTATATCGCTTGTTGCCTCCTTCGATACCTTTTCCACTACAATTTGGGAATCTCATACCCACTTTCCCTTTCGGTATGTACTTGCTCAAGCTGAAGGGTACAAACTATATATTCAGTCAATTCATGGTTCTATATCCCCACCTATAGGGCTTAATGTGTAACATCCCGATTTATAGGTATGAGATTTATTATTCAAAAGGCAAATTTCCCTTTGGACTTAGTGAGTTGATGGCCCCAACTCGACGTGTTGAAAGGCTTTGGGTCACACATGTTTTTGGACCAACTCAATGAGTTGGAGAAGAAAACATGACGAATTGGCAGCTGATTATGAAACCCTAAATTTTAGGGTTGGCACCCTATATAACCTCCTTAAGTCCTTGAGGCTCATCTTTTATCAACCTCCAAACCCTATTATCGGCCTTGTGAACCCTAATGTTCACTCCATCTCATATTGTGAGACAGTGAGGCATTTTGGAGCAAAAGAAAGAGAAGATTGAGAGAATGAGGCAAGGATCTAGCAAGCTAAGCTCTCATCTTCTGTTTGGCACTCTTTTGGACGAAGGTAAGTATTCGAAATCCGATTTTTATCTATCTATGTTGCTAGATCTTGAGTTTTGTCCCTTTTTCTCCTTATTCTTAGATGTTGTAATTGATAGACTTCATAAAGTTTGAAACTTTATGAATCTCCAGGTCAAGGTGAACTTACAGTGGGTTAGATATGGTCTTTAGCCAAGATTTGATGCGATGCATGGAGTTTAGGTCATATTTCTCCCTTTTGACCCATTTTCGGTTCATGATATGCATTGGACATGCATGTCTATAAAGCACCCACCTTTGGGACGTTTTTGAGGCTAGAATGTCTTCTGGAAAAGTTGGGTTGCAGATCTCAAGGATTTTGTGCTTAATGGTTAAGCCTTTGAGTTTTCAAGCCTTGTGGAAGAGTTTTTGAGCATTTGGAGTAGCCCTAAAGGATAAAGTTGGAAACTTTATCCTTTTAGACACATTTGGATTTTAGATCTGAGCCTTAGAATCTCTGGAATCGAAGAATCAGTTGTGTGTGTTAAGCTAGGAAAACTCAGCAAGTTGTCCAGCAAACTCGACGACTTGGATAGGATTTTCCCCGAATTTTTGAGTGCTGTAGAACTCGATGAGTTCATGAGGTGCACTCGACGAGGATGGTCAACATGTACTCTTGAATTTGACCATTGTCTTTGATTTTGACCATGGTTGACCAAGTTGGACTTTTGAGGGCATTTTAGGTATTTTGAGATTTTAATGGGTTGGTCTGGATGGTTGTAGCCTTTTAGTCGGGAGCTGAGATTCGGAGTTAGATCTTATTAGTTTAGCTACATGTGGGGTGATTTTTCCTCAATATACTTTTGAGTCAAAGGCACCAAGGCTGGCCCATTGGTTTCATAACATGATATCGTTGATATGATGAATATGGTATAGATATGCATGCTAGTCTTGATATGCTAGTTTTGTAGATCTATAGGACTACATGTGATAATGTCTGTTTATTTGTATATGATATTATCTATTATATGTCGACATATTGTGTGAGTTGGGTTAAGGTTGTACTGCTCTGTGTTGTAGCCAGTATGCCATATATGAGCTGAGGGTCAGGGAGGGCATGCCAGACTTATACTGAGGACTCGTGAGCATTCAAGATACGAGCTGAGGGCTGGGAAAGGCATGTCAGACTCTTACTGAGGGCTTAGCGGTATTCAGTCCATGCACTGATCAGGCTGGGGAGCATGCCAAACATAAGTTGTGGGCAAAGGGCAAGCCAAACTTATGTTGTGGGCCCAGGGGTAATCCAATATATTAATATGTTGACCCATTATATGTTGTTATTATATTTATGCTATTTTTTATGAATCAGTATTTTGGGGAAACTCACTAAGCTTTGGGTTTACTGTTTTTTTTATTATGTTTCAAGTACTTCAGAGGATCGCAGGAAGGTAAAGGCGTGATCGTACACCTTCTCATATTTTGTTTTACAATTTTGGGATTCCTTTTATTTGAAACTTATTTTGAAAACAATTTGTAAACAATGATGGTTTAGGTTTTATTTTAAAAGTTTAAAATTTTTAAGAATTTTAAGAATGTTAAATAATGTGCAATCTTGTGACACTAACTCCAACCAGGGTTATGGTGGTAGATCTTTTCATAGTGTCCGGGGATGTAGGTATCTTCCTCTCACTATGAACTATGTCGCTAAAACAACCATTATGCTAATGGATGTCCACATCTTGCCACCTATGCCAGTCATGCTCTTGGGTCTGATGTTGATCTAGCCAAATCTTTTCATGCAATTTGCCACAATTTAACCTTTGGTGAGGATTCGTAAGTTGGCTCTGGTTCAACGGATAGGATTGATAACTCAACCGACACCATACTTATGAAATAACAAGGTCACTTATTGGAATATAACTACTCTTTTACTATCTTATATTGGTCACTCTTCTTTTTCTAACAACATCTGACTTCGAGATGTGTTAGTGATTCCCAGGCTTACTAAAATTTGTTATGTTAGCAAATTGAAAACTTACATTAATCTGTATGTTTTATTTTTGCATCCTTATTTATATATACATGATCAATCAATAGAAATGGTTCTAGCTGAACGCCAATGTAACCGGGGTTTATATATCCTTAGTACCAACCCTCATGGCATTTTGTGTCCACCATATTCAAATTAAAAGCTTCATTAGAACTTTGGCATACTCGGTTAGGACATGTGTCCATTGATACTCCTTTACTACTAAATAAAATGGGCCTTTTTTCGGTTACCTCTCTTTTACCAAAACTTGTTGTGTGCCATTCTTGCCACTACCGAAGGCATACCATTTAACTTTTAAAAATAATGAAAACAAGCTTTACATGTATTACGCTTTATTTATTGTGACTTATGGCGCTTGTGACTTACATGAGTGGATTCTTATCCTTATTATGTTATGTTTCTGGATGATTAATGCAGATTTATGTGGTTTTCCCCACCACGTACCTAATCGAGTTTCTAGGGTGTCTTGAATATCTTTCTCAAATTTGTAAAAACTCAATTCTTTTGCAAAATAATGGCTTTTTAAAGTGATAGTGGCATAAAAATTTTAAACTACGATATTCGGAAATTGCTCGAAGTGAATGCTATATTCCACCACGTCTTGTCCCCATACATTCTCAACAAAATTGTCAGGTGAAATGTAAGCATAATAATATTGTTGAAACCGGTCTCACAGTGTTATTCAATAGACACGTTCATCTGTTATATTAGGTTCACGCATTAGGTTACGTAGTCTATATCAGAAATCATTTACCTTCAACGGTGTTACAAAATAAATCTCCAATTGAACTTCTCTTTAATCACACTCCCATTTATGATGATTTCCAACCTTTTGGGTGTCGACTTTATCAATGCCTATGGGACCATATATGCCAACCACAAACTCTCTCCAAGAAGCCTCCCCTTTATGTTTTTACTATTTTTCTCAATACAAAGGCTATCAATGTCTTAAACGCACCACATATCACATCTAAATTACCCGACATGTTAAGTTTGATGAATAATTTTTCCCTTTCACCGGTGACACTTATCAAACATCGATGGCCATGCTCATCTTAACAAAATTTGAAGTGGATTATTCTTGTGTTAATGTTGTGTATGATTGCTCGTCGTCACCCTTTTCCAGTCAAGTTAGCCCACTACCACTGCCTACATGTGGTTTATGTGATGATGCCCGAAATACGCCAAGTCTATCCTACGTACGTGCACTCTGCTCTTAACACTCATGTTGTTAACCATGAGCATGCGACCATCGACCCTATTTTGGTTCCTGAGCTTGCTGTACTCGAACCTGATGTCCCCAACCTTGTTGTGGGCCATCTGATGACTACGAGAGCCTAAGCTGGGATTTTTAAACCCATACACAAGGCTTATTTAGCCCACATAAACACTCATTGGTTTTTATCAACTATATTTGCTTCCACCAATCCAAAGGGTTTAAAAACTACTGCTAAACTTATGCATTGGATGATTGACTTGCATTGGACATGTTCCTCTTGTTTGCAGAGTGCTAAGAATCAACCCACCATCTCTTGCTCGAGCTATGAATCTAAGTATTAGGCGATGGAAAACACCATTGCGAAAATAATTTGGATCACTCATTTATTACGGGAGCTACATGCTCTACCTTCGGATCAACGAATGATATTGTGTGACACTAAAAGTACCTTATTGTTCACGTAAAACCCAATCTCTCACAAACAAACAAAGCATATTGAGCTAGTTTATCATTTTATTCGTGAACTTGTCACTTCCAAGAAGCTCCACACCAAATTTGTTCCTACCGCCTCTTGTGGCTGATATATTTACAATGACTCTTCCCTTACATCAATTCGAGTTCTTCTGAGACATGTTGTGATCAATACCGTTTTGCTTGAGGGGGGATATTCATATTAGACACCCATAAGTCTTGTTTATTTTGGTGTTTTACATTAATGTGTTTCCTTTATTCTTAAAGGGGGTGTTCTTGTAGCCTTATATTTTGTAATTTCATCTGATCTCCTTTTTATTAGGCATGGAGAGTCATTCTCCCATCGAGGCATAAAAAAGAAGATGGCCACGACTTTAGGAGATGGAGAGGAAGAGGGAGAGGTCATCTTCTTAATACCATAATATAATATACAAAGTCATGGTACATATAAAACAATATAAGCAGTAGCTACTAATGGGATAGGTCCATCCGTATATACACAACACACACACACACACACACACACACACATATATATATATATATATATATATATGAATAATTACTTGATGTAGACACATATTAAATTATACAAGAATATACTTATGTATTTATAAATGAATATACTTATTTATATATGAATATTTGTTATCGTCACCAACACCTCTTTCTGTGCGTTTGAGGGTTTTGCGGCAAAAAGTTTCTGTGCGTTTGAGGGTTTTGCGGCAAAAAGAAATAGATGTGAGAATGGTGATTACATTGTAGTTGGTTTATATTCAAATATGACTATTAAATTTATTTGTGGGGCAAAAAAAAATATTATATATATATATATATATATATATATATATATATATATATATATATATATATATATATATATATATATATATATATATATATATATATATACTCGATGTTTGTGTTAAAAAAAACACTAACCAGTGGGCTTCATCTATATTCGACTCTATGACCAATGTTGTATGGCTAGAGACTTTCTGTTGCTTCAATAAATTTTATTATCTAATCACATGCATGTCCCCCCTAATTAACGAGACCACTATAGTAAGGAATTTCTTGATAAACATGGATTATTCGTTTTTGTTTTTTGTTATATGTTACTAAAATTGCAATTGATACCGTTTCATAATATTTCACTCGTTATAGTGCTACTGCATAAGTTATACGTACAGAACCACAAGCAAGTACATTCGTTTCTATGAGAAGGTGGCATGCAAGCATAAATTAACATAAAGTGAGAAAAATAAGAATAAAGTTTTACCTCTTCTTTTGCCTCAAAACACCATAACTCCAACTTTGCTAAACCTGCTTTCACGTATTCCCCGTTGCTTGAGGTACAATACTCCTGGCAGAGAAGAAGACTGCAGAGACAACATAATTAAATATTAATATTTATCCTAGGAAACCAAGAAACGGTTTTAAATTAAAGATCCAAGTTGAGTAAGCAAATACCTATTAAAGAGCTGGACATTGATGTATTTGAAAGCTTGAGCAAATATTTTCTGAACAATTATCGAAGGCACCTGAAATGCAACTATATGTCAAATATCTACAAAAAAATATCCTCTGAACAGTCACAATCCAATGCAATATTAAATGTGTATGTAACTATGGGTTCTATAATTCCATAGACGATAAGAAATAACTGTATCCACGTTTATTACATAATGACATATTCGTTTTTCCTGCTAAAAGAACTGAAACAGCTGTAAGTGTCCCAACGTTTATACGACAAATATGACTTGAAGATATTTTTCTTACGAAATTTTCTTTCAGTGAGTGGAGAAGAGTGTTGAGACAATCCACCATTTCTTGCCAGTGATTGAGTGGATAATCTTTGCCAAATGTTTGTCCAGAGCTTAGCACCTTCTTTGACAATTGTGGGACCTAAATTTTCACAATTATAATATATTGGATCGGTGGAATATAATATGTAGTATGCGAAGTCAAATAAATATAGGAATATGAATGTATTGTTAGACTATAATACAACCGAATATACGTTCTGATGAATCAAAGTTCAATTACCTGAATACATAACGCAAGTGATGATCTCAACTCCTTTTTTAAGTTGTCCCGAATAATGCTATATATTTTTTCTACACAGGCTGTTAGTTGCTGCTTGAAAAGTAATGCTGGGTATTTGAATCCAACTTGTTGTACTACCTTATCCTCAGTAAGGTTGACAGAAGACATGGGTGAATGTAATCCCTAAATAAATATAAGTAGAAAATCATATAATGAAACATACATATATAAGTTTTAAAGATCAAACGAGTAATCACATTGAAAAATACCTTTGTCATTCTTCCGAATAGAGAAATTGCAGGTCTTTGTCTCTGAGCTTTACTTTGAACATCAGGTATTTGACTTTTGTGAATTAAGAATAACAAATTAGACGCATTTGATAACCAGTATGCCATTCGTTTCTTATTATCGTGATCCTGCGAGGTGATAAACTGCCATTACATTTAAAATATTCCAAACATAAACAGAAACACAACAATTGAGGGAAACTAATGACGTTTGTTTTGCAGATAAAATGTAACGTTTTGATTTTGTAAGGGGTGTGAATTCTTTCATGTATTGTGAATGTCTAATTCCCTTGAGTTAACATGATTCCCTAATAGGGATTCGTTTATCATTACTAAGGTATACCTCCTTTTCGAGAAGAAAAATCTGAATAATTCGATCAAACACATTTGTTCTTTCAGCTTGAAAACATTTCCAATGGAGAAGGCATTTGTATATGGTAAATGCTGCAACAGGTATGCCATTACTGAAACCAATGTCTTCCACCACGCACTCCATAAGGATTGGAACATTCTCCTACAGAGATATTGAAACTCATATGAAAAATATAAACCAAATCCACTATTAAAGAAAGGACAAATAATATCATATAATCTGAATGCAAACTCTTCAGCTAATTAACTGCGGAGTTTCTACTCGACCTTTCCTTCATCTTATTTAGTTTTTAAATTTTCTATTCTTGTATTAATTGTGTCAATTTGTTTTCCTGCTTGAATGACATGCCTTTTGTATCTAAAATATTTTATGTCAATGATATTAAAATAATTACTTAAACCTATTCATATATCCGAGACATTCAACGCGTATAATATTCCAATTTTCTCATTAGTTCACATGGTTATTTTCAGAAAAGTAACCAATACTCATCACGAAAAACGATTCTGGTGATTTATCACGTTATATGACCAATTATATTTTTCATTCTTGCATATGAAAACTTGATTTTCTACAAAATGATTAAGTGAAAAGACTTACTTGAATATCCATTGCTGCTTCAATCCTCTCAATGACCAATTCCATCTTAGGGCGTTCCTTAATATTTAAATTAATGCACTGATAAGCAATTTCCTTAACCGCATCAAACGAATAACTATCAACTTGATCTCTTATATTCGGGTCAATTAAATTGTGTAGTTCCTTGGGATAATATCGTCGGACCAAATTTATGAGATGCTGTGGCCCATCTTCTCCAATGCTCCTTGTATGATAGACGAGCATCCCACTCAGCATTTCAAAAAGTACTACCCCAAATGAGTATATGTCAGATTCTTTTTGGAGGATGCTGCTTTCATGGTAACTCGGATCCAGGTAAAACTGGGTACCCGCAACCTTTGTATGGAGTTGGGTATTTGGCTGATTTTTGGGACCAAATTTTGATAAACCAAAATCACAAATCTTTGCTACCAAGTTGCAATCTAACAAAATATTTGCACTTTACACGTCTCGGTGTATTACTCTGTTATTCTGGCCACAACCCGAGTGAAGGTAATTAAGTCCTCGTGCAGCCCCTATGCAGATCTTGAGGCGCTGTGTCCATGTTATGGAGGACATCTTCTTTGGATCTTGGAGATGATGGTCGAGGCTTCCATTCACAGCATATTCATAAACTATGATCCTCTCGTTGCCTTCATTACAGTAACCAATAAAGGAGATGACATTTTCATGGCTGAATTGGGAAATCATCTGAAGTTCGTTATTGAACTCCTTGGTAGCTATCCTGGCTTAGCCGTTTTACAGCACATATGCGGTTTTTCCAGCATTCAGAGAGTTGTCCTTTGTAAACTGCACCAAATCCACCACCTCCGATACATCGTTGTTGACTGAAGTTTTCGGTGGCACCGCTAATCTCCTCTAGTGGAATTAGATAATTTTCAAGCTTTATCCCAGAAGAAGACATCCTCTTTTGATATATGGAGGATGATGGAGGAATGCTCGTGGCGGCCGATCGAGGCGGTTCTCAGTCGAGGAGGAGAAAAAGATGGGAGGCGAATGGAGTAGATACCAAAGGCGGAAGTTTAGTTCAAAAGAAGGTTAAAAACACAGAGAAGGGCACAGCAACAGATTTGGGAGAAGGTAGCAGAAGGTAAACTTATAACAGAGGTTTAGAGTGAGTATATAAACAAAGTATATATATATATATATATATATATATATATATATATATATATATATATATATATATATATATATATATATATTCATCTTCACCTATTATAGGAGGTTTCAACATTATGTTTTCCTTTAAATAATATTTTTTATTTTGGGAAAATGACTTAAAAACCCAACAAAGTTTCCAAACCGTTTAAAAAACCCCAATCATATTTTGTCTGTTCAAAAACACCCAACAAACTTAACATTTTATCTAAAAAGCCCAATTAAGTTACACTTTCTCGAAAGTCAAATAAAAGAAACATATGACGTGGCTTATTACCGTATCGGAAAAATGATTTGTTAGACCAACGAAGTTTTCAAAATGTTTAAAAAACTCCAATCATGTTTTGACTGTTCAAAAAAACCCAGCGAACTTAAACAAAACAAAATTGAAATTTTCTGAACGGTTTGAAACTTTGTTGGACTTTTTAGACAAAATGTTAAGTTCGTTGGGTTTTTTTGAACAGACAAAACATGATTGGGGTTTTTTGAATGGTTTGAAAACTTCGTTGGGCTTTTAAATCATTTTCCATTTTATTTTCCTTGTTTTTAATAAATTCTTATTTAACATCGTTAAAACAAAATTGTGCAAATCTTTACATCGTACCCTTCACGCTTCGTCTGTTTTCGATTCATCCATCCTTCCTAGGTCAAGGGCACCCCAACATAAACAACTGCTATCGGAGAAGCAATGAATCAACCACCAACATCGCCACTACACCTAGAATTTATCAATGATATCGCTGCTGCAACAAGCACCATAACCTTCCTTCAACGTTGCAATTGATATGAAAACATTTGGTTGGTTCATAGATGAAAATACGACGGAGCAGGTGTGGTCGGAGAGTTGATCGGTAGGGAAGGAACGGAGAGAGGTGGAGGATTTCTAGATTTTCTCATTCTATTCCAGTCGCTTCCTTTATACTCGAACACAACCATCCACCATGACGCCTCTCCAGTGAGCCGCTTTGAAATATCGGCTAAAGTAGAGCATCTAATGGTGTCGGGTATTATCTAAGGAAGGTATCGGTATTTCCTGATCTCTATAAGGGAGGAGGGAGTCGTTCCCTTTCAACCCATTGAACCTACTATCACATTAATTTTTGTCTCTTCTTTTTCTTCATTTTTCGCAACCCACAACAAATGGAAATCATATATTTCTCAACCCAGTCAACCTATTCAATTGATAAAAAATACAAAACAACTAAGGTATAAGTTTTAAAAAACATGGTACAATAGGAAACGAGAAAGAGAAAGTAGAGAGAGATGATGAAGTGGGTTAGTGAAACCACTCAATCCGTTAAAACGGGAGTGGTACCGTCCGTAACTGTATTCTTAATTAAGATTTACCTTTGATTATTTTGTACCTTTTTTAATTGAGTGGATTGCGTGGGTTCAAAAAGATAGAGTTTCAGTGTGTTGTGAGTTGGAAAAAATGAAGAAAAATAAAAGAAAAAAAATAATGTGGCAGTGGGTTCAGTAGGTTGAAAGGGAATGACTCTCTCTCCATATGGCATATTCGAAAATTGTGTTTTCATAATCAATTATGCGTAAAAGTATTATGTAATTATTGAGAACTAATCCGTACACAACAATTTTTTATCCATACACAACAATTAGTACTTTAAAATATTGTATTGAACAACTATATAATGCATAAATTGTTATGTATGCCAAAAAATTGTTGTGTGAGTCGAAATAGAATATAACTAGTTACATTTATAAGAGAAGTCAATAACTTATCGAAGGACTTTTATTAAATTACTATGTTAATTTATCTTCAGATTTACATTAAACTACCGTACAAGTTAGGGTATTATATTCTTAAAAGGATTGGTAGAAAATGACTATAATTATTAATATATATGTTTCTATAGAATATAATTTTTGTTTTTTGTTCACACTACTGTTGGAAATTCATTTGAGAGTTCTTTATAAATATATTTCAAGCATTCACATTGACATATTCTTCTCCCCAATTTAATGAACAAAATAAACAGTGGGAGTTGTTAATAATTGTTTATTTTAACACCACTTGCCTTGTACGATGTTTAGCACCCAAGCCGAGATGCATCAACATGTATAATTCAATGATACTTTTATGAACTGTTCCTTTTTTTTAAGAGTAAATTAGACGAATGGTCCTGGTTTGGGGTAATTTGCATTTTTGGTTTCTAATTTATTTTTTTAATTCGGAATATCCCTATTGTTTGTTTTTGTTACACGCTTGGTCCTTAGAATTTGTTTTTGTTACACGTTTGGTCCCTATCTTACCTAAAAAGATTATTATTTAAATAGGGAAAATGGTGAGATAAGTAAGGTAATGTAAGGTGGGTAGGGTTGGGGTGTGTTTATTAAAAAAAAAAAATTAAAAAATCAAGGGCAAAATAATGTTTTTAGGTAAGACAGGGACCAAGTACGTAACAAAAACAAACAGTAGTAACCTTCCAAGTTAAAAACCTAAGTTAGGAACCAAATGTGAAAATTACCCTAAACCATAGGGACCATTCGTGTAATTTACTCTTTTTTTAATTGTAGTTCAAATGGCATTCAAATAAGCTCGTGCAATTATTTAAAGCTGCTCTCGCTTTCTTGTTGGCACAGATGATAGGAAATTAGCTACAGCTGACAATGATGTCTAATAACATGATTTTTCTTCTTCCAAATAGTAATAGGAAATTAGATAATATGTAACAGAAATTGTACATGAATGGGGTGTTCATCAGATACTTTTATGCTCTTTATTTATTTGACTAACACAAGTACACATTTGTTAACTAAAAACTAATTAACCCAATAGAGAATTTGACCCAAAGAGCCAACGATAGGTTCAAACGACTAGGTACATCAAAATAATTACCAAATTCATTTTAAAATGTCTATATATGCTATCGACCTGTTATTTGAAATACTTTAAATGAACCCATAGAATTGACTTTGGGTACATGATCACATGCTAGATTCTCTTCACGTTGTATATATAGTAAACTAACTTATTCATATGACTTTGTTGCATCAACACTTCACCCAAGCCCATGATCGAAGCGTCATAGTAAACCACAAAGTCATCGACGCCCTCCGACAAATTTAGTATCAGTGGAATGACACCGAATTCTTGGTCATTTGGGTCAGAGGACAGGTGATCTTGGTGAAATCATGTATGAACCTCCGATAGAAACCCGCTAGACCATGAATGCTCCGAATCTCATATGGAGACCTCGAAAACCTTCCACTGCATCATGACCACTATCTTGGCCGGATTAATCGGAATACCTTTATGGTTGACATGGTGCCCCAGAAACTGCACCTCATACAACAAGAACTCACACTTGGAGAACTTTGCAAAAAGTTTGTCCCTCCTCAGTGTCTCCAGGACCTCCATTAGTAGCTCTTCATGTTGCTCCTGAGTCTTGGAATAAACCCACATATAATCTATAAATACTATCATAGACTTGTCCAACATCAGTCTGGACACACCGTTCATGAGATCCATGAACAAGGCAGCAACATTGGTGATCCCAAAGGGCATCACCACGAACTCATAGTGACCATAGTGTGTCCGAAAGGATGTCTTCAGCACGTTGTCGTCCCTGACTCGTATTTGTTGAAAAACCGATCGTAGATTAATCCTGGAGAGCCAAGAAGCAACCTAAATCTACTTAAACAAATCATCAATCCTCGATAGGGGGTAACACTTCTTTATTGTTACCTTATTCGGCTCCCGCTAATCTATGCACATCCGATGGGACCCTTCCTTTATCTTTACAAATAAGATTGGGGCTCCCAATGGGGAACTACTCGGTCTGTTAAATCCCTAGTCCAACAGCTCCTACAGCTGTGTAGACTAATCCTGAATCCCGGGAGGAGCTAACCGATACAATGTCTTGGCTATCAGATCCGCACTAGGAACTAGGTCAATCTTGAACTCTACATGCCTCTCTGGAGGCACACCAGGCAAATCCTCTGGGAACACGTCCGAGTACTCTCGTATGACCGGTACATCATGCACAATCGCCTTAGCCTTATCCTCGGTATTCCTAACATATTTGATGCTGAAGGTAGTGCCTCGCTTTCGCGGCCGAACACAAAGTCGGTCTGCACTGCAGCCTCTCACCCTGAATCACTAACATTTCCATGTGAGGGAATAAGGTTATTGTGGGTATTAAATCGCTGAGCCCGAATGGGGTAGTGATACAAAATCCACGTAAAACTGTTCGTCAAACAATTGTAGTGTAGACCCCCAATGAACCCTTGCAATCTGAACGGTCCTATCAAATCTCTATATCTAGTGGACAATATAACTCCCCAAGAGCTCCTAAAAATCATTTGCTATGTACCAGCTCCACAAATGATCAGGTAACCAACGAATCAACCAATACCAGAGCTGATATACTGCTCACTAGGAACGAGCCTATAATGAAAAACATAAACATAAGTAACAATAAATATCAATAAAGAGATAAGGAGAAGATACATACCCTTCACGACGTCGGGTGCTACTCATGCCTCCTCTGTTGTCAACTAGAAGGCTCTCCTCTTCACTACTGGCTCCTCTGCCTGGCCCTAAAGGCCATCGGTAATCCTTAAGGTAGCAGGAGCGGGTTCCACCACCTGCCCTGATGCTTCCAGAATCTGACACTATGACCTCTTTTGACCCCTGTAATTGCAATGAAAGGAAATCAGATCAGATATTTTCGGGGTGGTGGTGGTTGCACTATAGTCCCTGCTAACAAAAGTAGTTCAACT